GGATCTCATGTTGATCCGCTTCCCGGAACGAAATTCTTTGCGGGTGGTGTTCTAGAATGAGAGAGATGCAGAGCTAACAAGGAACGGCGTGTGCTTCGTCACCTCTTTTGGTTGGACGTCGTTGACAAACCATTTTCAGGTCCCTGTGACTTGCTCTCTACGGTTGGCGTAGTTTACTTCACCGGGCATGACTTTCTTGCAGACGTTTCGCATTCAAGGGTTTGGTATTATTACATAGCAGTGTTCAGTGGATGTGGCACTTGTGCGGTATGGAGGGAACTCAGTCTGCCCTTATCCAAGACGCTAAGGGTATCCCACTGGTAGGTCAGAAGGAACGCGTCGAAAGATCCCCTGAGCATTCCCAGCCGCTGCCCAACGGCTGTCTTCCAGATACGTAATTTTTGGCTGTTAATTCTCTGCCAAGACTAGAGTTAGCGTAGGTTCACCCACGAAACTAAAGTCCCAAAAGCCTTGCTACTCCTCAAGGTTTTATCTAATGGAAGGACAGGAATTTTGAAAAAAACTCCATGTTCTGTTTCATCTGATGTGGATCTAAAAATTTCCCACGAGAATGGAAGTATGGAGTAATCGTTCCTTTTTAAATGGGGTCAGGCGGCCGTGTGATTAAATGATCGTGGTATTACGCCACTGTCAGCTCTCAGGAAACTTTCCTCCTGTATTATCCTTAAAAGCCTGAACCAGGCAATGGATGGGAGACTTTGTCCAAGTCAAACAAGCTTCCGGGTGGGTTATTCCTGCCCCGACCAAATTTACAACACTGCGAAAAATCATTGAGAAATACCAATGATTTCTGGTTACCCTAGTCTGTCAGTTTCCTCAACTTCGTGGCTTCATTTGGCTTCATTCATCGTCCAGCGATGTGGAAAATCTTGAAATACTACGGAATATTCGAGAATATTTTTTTACTTTGATGATGTGAATGCGGGAACTATGCCTGCTGTCAGAGTCGAAGGAGAGCTAACTGAATGTTTCCTTATTAATTGTGCAGTTCACCAGGTAGGTATGCTTTCGCCTACGCTATTCAGTATCGTCTTTCTTCTCCAAAACAATTCTGACTCTGGCAAAGACGAAAGTCGCCCTCTACAGGAAAAGCGCAGTTCAAGATATCCGGTTAGATATCTTACTGTCATGGAGTACGTTGATGACCCAGAGAG